GGCGCTTTTGCCGCTGAGCTAAATCCCCAGCCCCCCATGCCACTGTGTTTCAATCCATGAAAAAAAATAGATGGGCTGAGAGGGCCCTTAGGCCAAGCCGAGGGTTTATGCTACTTGATTTTGTCAGTATAGTTTTATTTGTTTTGATTGGGTGGATCATTTGATTTTATTTCCCAAAAAATGTCAGAGTAGAGAGTACTCTCCTGGGCTAATTTGGGACCCACCCACCAAGAATAAGGCCTGGTCTACCACAGGCCACCCGAGGTTCTGACCCTGCCGTGGGTACCAGGCCACCATCCTGAGAACAGCTCCTGACTGACAGCCGAAGATAGTGTGTGTGAAGGGACCCACATTTGCGTTCTTTGTTTGGAACCCTGGTTTTCCTTTGTTTGAATTCACAAGTTTGTGTGTGTGTGTGTGTGTGTGTGTGTGTGTGGTGCTGGGAATAGAACCTGGGGCCTTAATGAATGCTAGGCAAGTACTGTACCAATGAGCTACATTCCCAGCCCCCATGATTTTTGTTAGACTAGACTTCATAGACTTTCCCCATAAATTATATATATATATATATATATATATATATATATATACACACACACACATATATATATTCCTCTTTTAAAATGATTTTTATGACAGTAGTACATAAAGCACAGAAGCACAGGGCCGAAAGCACCAGTCAAATACACATAGTTAAACATAACCTTGATTAACAAATCTTGTTATTCATGGATGCCAGCTCAGTTAATAAGTGTTTGCAGCTTGGATACTGAACTGGAGGTTAATGGCGAGGTGGAAGCAATTGCAGAATCCAGATTTTTAAGACAAACACACATCACACCCCAAAAGGCATGCGTGGAATCAGGTGTAGTCAGTGGGCTGTGGTGATGGCTTTGGCTGTTCCCCTTCACTGGTCCAGCGTGAACAGCCTCCAGAGCTGGCGCCTTCTCAACCAAAGAGGACCAGCCCCTCTCCAAGGCCTCTGGAGAGCTTGCACCTTACCCTCCTACGGCCAAGTAGCAGACTTGAAATTTCTAAAAATTAAAGTTGCATTTGACTTCTCTAAATTAGATTTGTAGAGCACATAGGTTAATTATACAGTTACAGGGAAGCATATGTGCAAACTGAACAAACATCTCCACCCATCTCAGCTTGGTTGTCATATGTCAGTTGTGTGGAGTCAGGTTTCCCTTCCTTTACTTTCGGTGCAAAATGAATGCAAGACGTGGTTTGAAAACTGCATTGTTTGTTTGCCACTAAGGGATATTTTTATGTTGAAGAATCTGAAGCTCTGGTACATTCCTTAACTGATTTGCTTTCCTCCCTGTGGGATGGATGAAAAGCAGGAGCTTTTTTTCATGTGAACTGGTAATCAGGTCAGTACTAAAAGTAAATAAGTGTCTGAGGAAGTGGATAAGTCAGTCACATCCTTAAAGGGCACCGAAAGAATGTGGGAATATCTGTCTCTTTCCTCCTCAGTTCCTTGAGAGACAAAGGGAGAAGGCTGGCGTCTAAAATGTGTAACCTCACAACACCTTCTCGGTCGGCAGCCAGGGCCGGGTGGCGACTCGTTCGCAGACAGTCCCCCGGTGTGTCATGGGTCGTGTAGTCCCGCATGTGAACAGGAAGGTGAGCATGGTGAACTTTTGCCTCAGTTGTGCCATCCATCAGGGGATAAATGGAGCAGATCACCGTGTGCAGCTGCGCACGGAGGCGAGTGCCTGCGTCCTCCTCACACAGGGGCCTTTGTCTCCACGTGATCTGGCATCCACGGGATGTACCCGGCCTGGGCTTCGTGGCAAATTACTAACCCATTATCACACCAGAACACAGGATCGTTTATCTTCTAATCCGCAGTGTCACCTGTTCTTCATTTACCAGTCAATAACCATTAATTATGCTCAGTGGAAAGTTAAACAAAGCCCTTTCCCTCTGTTAAGACCAGTAAACTATTCAGTAATAACAAATAAGTCTGGAATTGTATATCCTTTCCCTTCCCATTCCCAGACTGGAGTCTGGTACAATATGAACTTTAGAGGAAATGCCTAGAAATTGATAGGTCAAAGGCCCCAGATAGTCTGATGGAAAAGAAAAGGGCAGATTCTTGGCCCCAGCTCTCGTGCAAGTGAGAGGCTCCTACCGATCTCCAGATTCCTGTGGGACAGAACAGGACCGGGGAGCTAAGGCCACATGTACCCTGCACCGCCGCTGAGCAGCAGCCGTGTTTCCTCCTCTCATTTTTCTAAGCCCATCTCTTCCTTCACGTGATGAAACCAGGGTTCTTCTGCAGTCATGCTAGCACAAGAGTATCCCTAAAGAAACAAAATTCACTGAGCGGTCCTGAAAGACCTATTTGAAACATTTTTTTAAAAATGGAAATGTGAGCGAAACACATTTAAATGTGTTTACCCTGTTACATGTAATTCCTCAGAAAAATATTCAAACAAATTCTGTACAGAAGCATAATTTAATTTTTCCTAAACACTCTGAAAATATTTTGACAAATGCCAGCACTAGTGTGTGTGTGCACATGTATATGCGTGCACATATGCAGCTGTGCACTGGGCGTACTCAGAGAGTGGGCAGAGGTGGCTCGCTTGGGACCGGTGACCAAAGGGCAGCTGGAGCCCAGTGAAGCCACCGCGGCATGTGCTGCAGGTCACAGGAAAACTCAGTGAGACAGCACTAACTCACCCCTATGGCTGACTTGGGACCCTGGTCTAGAATCCAGAAAAAGGTCAGCATGTCCAGACTGCTCAGGAGAGAGTGCATTACAGACCTCGGGGAGCTCCGGGCAGGCACAACCCTACAGAGAGCTCCCGGGAGCACCTCTGTGCTCCTCCTCTTGGGCCCCAGCACTTCACAGTGTAGAGGGGCCTCGAATGAAGGCTCCATCTGGGGTGTGGACTGTCCTTCTACAGAGGACATTGGCGTTTGATGCCTTTTAAAAACTGATCAAGCTTAATCAGTAGTAACAGTAGTATAGTATTTAAAAGTGTTGTAACTACATTCATCCACTGGGATCTCTTAATGCCAAATGAACTGCAGCTATTTCATTAATGTGAACAAAACGGTCTGTCCACCAAGGCAGTGTCCTCTGCCAGTTACTTTACCATGTGTTGCTGACTGAAATGATTGCCATTGTCCCCGCCAGCAGGCCCCATCTCCAAGGCCTGGGAAACTGCCATAACTATCATCTTCCACAGAAAAAAATACAATTTCAAATAGGAAAAGTACCCAAACTATTTCCTTCCTTAAAACAAAAATATGACTTCAAGTAGTTTCATAGTGGACCAACAATATGAAAATATCCATAAGAAACAACTTCAAGTGAAAGGGAAATGCATTTTGTTTTTTAGAAGGTTGCCATAAATTCACAAATAGAATGAATGAAAGAAAGAAAGGAAAAAAAGAAAGAAAAGAAAAAAGAAAAGAGAAAAGGAAAGGAAAGGAAGGAAGGAAAAAAAGAGAGAAAGAAAAGAAAGAAAGAGAAAGAAAGAAAAAGAAAGAAAGAAAAGAAAGAAAGAAAGAAAGAAAGAAAGAAAGAAAGAAAAGAAAGAAAGAAAAAGAAAGAAAGAAAGAAAGAAAAAGAAAAGAAGGAACGAAGATTGATTAGGGATTTTGGTGGCATTTTCTAAGCGAAAATATGCTGGCTTATTGATTTCAGCAACCTGTTTCCAAGCTTTTCTAAGACTAGCCAGGGAAACACCCACCAACATAGTGTTTACTAAATGTTAGAACAAGGGTTCAATGCGTGTAACACTGGGCAATGTCAAAACAAAGTGCTTATTCTTTTAGCTAGTTTATTTTGAGAAATGGGTGATAGTGAGGGGGAAAACCGTTTTTTACTTAGATTTCTTTTTTGCTTCCTTCCCCTCCTCTTCCCACCCTTCCCTGCCCCTCCCCTGCCCTTCTTTTCCCTTTATTTTTTTCTTCTTTTTTATAGTGCTGGATTGAGCGCATAACCTTGCATATGCTAATAAGCACATGTGCTGTGCTGTGCTGTGCTGCACTATCAAGCTACACCCCCTGCCCTGGGCTTGGATCTTTCTCAAAGGGTCAAGCAGGCTCTCAGATACCTGCTAGACTTAATTTTTAAACTCTGCATCCTGAAGTGTGTAAAACGCTTTATAATTAACATGTAGTTCCAAGCTGTGGAAACTGTAGGCCTGCATGCTATTGATAAAAGCTCTCTGACTGCAGAAGGACACATTGCGGTGGTTGCCACGCATCTGTCTCAGAGTGCGGAGGCCCTTTGTCCACCCAGACTCCTTGTTCCCATTGAGAAACTGCAGCCCAGTGAGACGTTCTCATGATCACTGAGGAGTCCCTGACCCTGAAATGCCACCTTAGGAAACTCTTAACTCTGGTATTAATAAATTCATTGCCTTTCAGACAGCTGTTTAAAATAGTAATGTTCTCTATTTTGTGGTTGTTTCTCTGTTGATAATTGTTTATTTTGCTTTTCAATTGATAAATTTCCAACTTCATGATTAAGAAATGAGTTTATACTTTTGAAGAGTTTAATGATGGAGTTTATAATCTCTTCAAATGCGTTTTCCTTACCTGCCTTTGGTGACATGTAGGAAAGTTAGACAATCCTTAGGAACCCTTCTTTCATGAACATACTATAAAAAGCTTATTAGCTAGAGACTTTAAAAGGTTTGTCATAAATATACTATGAAAAGGGTATTTGTCACAGATACTGTTGAACATCGTGTTCCTCTAAGGCATATTGCATAAGAGTCACGAGGGATGTAAAAGATAAAAGGTTCCTGCAGATTCCTCACCTCTGTGGCCAGGGCCCAGGCTTCTATACCGAATAGTCCCCAGATGTTTCTGAGGTACATTAAAGTGTGAGAACCATCCCTGCAGGGCTGGAGTACTGTGTTAAATTCATGTTCAGTTTTCTAGGTGTACATGTCCGTATCTGATTATGACAGCACTGTATTCCCAAAGTGTCTGCTGAGGACATTACATGGATCTGCCTCTCTGTCTAGGCTATGTGGCTGATGTTGCAGAATGATGAGCCGGAGGACTTTGTCATCGCTACTGGGGAAGTCCACAGCGTCCGTGAGTTTGTGGAGAAGTCATTCATGCACATTGGCAAGACCATCGTGTAAGTACGCGGGGCGCTGCTTGCTGCTCCTCCACCAGACATTTGCCGGCAGCCAGGCATGCGTGCCCCTCCTCCTGGCCAGCTCCCTTTTCGTCTTGCCTGTACACGCTTGTGACTCCGTGTGTGCAGCTCAGCATGCGTGCATCCAACCTGCTTACTTCAGATGTCAAGTGTTCCTCAGCACCTAAATCCAGTCTTTTCAAATTTTATTTTCTTACTTTGTCCTGTTTTTAAAGTTTCTTTTTCTTTTTCCAGTCTTAAGTTTTTATTGCAATATAAATGCCATCTTTTACTATTTATTACTATGTATTTTACTGTGTCTATTTGTACTCTTACAAGTCCAATGCAGTAACATTACCCAGTCTTTTGTACTACCTTTAAACATAAAATATAATAATTTTATTTTCTAAAAATTAAGACTATCATAAACTTACAGAACAGCTTCAAATACATTACAGTCTGTTCTCTGAACCCTTGACAGCAAGTTGTGACTGGTGCCCTATCGTCCTGAACCTGTGTGTACTTTCTACAAACAATGACATCCCTACATAGATTCAGTGCAACCATCAGAGAGGAAATTCACAGGGATAACTACCCCCATCCAGCCCTCAGACAGTGACATTCCCCTGATGCAATGCAACCATCAGACAGGAA